GTTCTATGCGTGAGCTGACCTGGTTGTTGTGTGGTCTATTCTTATTATACTCAGATATGCCAATCAGTTCCTGTCTGGCGAGTTGGACGTTGACAATCGACGAGAAAAGTTTGTCAAGCACGGTGTAAAAGAGGAGGATCTGGATCAGGTCGTCGCGGTAAGTATGGCAGGATACATATACACAAGGGAAACATAGACAAGGGTATACCGACATAGACAAGGGTATACCGACATAGACAAGGGAAACATAGACAAGGGAAACATAGACAAGGGTATACCGACATAGACAAGGGTATACCACGCCAATAGGCACGCAAACTACATGCTGAAGTACACGCTTACGCACGCACAAGGAACACACGTTTACGTACATACGCACACACATACATATACACATACATTCACATAAACTGTATATTTACATTGTGTCTTTCTCGCGCAGTGGGCCAAGGACATTCGAAATTCTATCAAAACGAACGACTGCTACACTTGATGGAGGTATAAACACACACAAGCACGTATACACATACTATATATATATACATATACATATATGTATATATATATATATACATATACATATACATATATATATATATATATATATATACATATATACATATACATATACATATACATATACATATACATATATATATATATATACATATACATATACATATACATATATATATATATGTTGTAACGTTCTCACGCAGGGTGTCATTATCCAAAAGTCTACCAAAGCCACTTAATATATGTATACGCACACACACTAAACATATAGTACACCATTTTCCCACAGGCGGCCAAGGACATCCAGACGTCCATCAAAGCCAACAACTACCATCCGCAGTTCCGTGTGTCGTACAACCGCATGTTGTTTGTTGACAGTCAGGTGCATTCTGTGGATATGTGTCTGGACTCAGAGATGGTCATGGTGAAGGAGAGGGGTTTCCAGGTAGGTATAGTGTAGTTGTAGTTGTAGTTTTGTGAGCCTATGTCGAATGTGTGTGAACATGTGCCTATATAGCCCGTGCGTGCGTGGTGCTATGTTGTTGTCTGGTGTTTTCATAGGAGGCTTCCCAGGTATAGTCTAAATGAACTGTACATAAACTGGACTTTTATCGAAAGTGTTCCTTTCAAGAAGTAAATTGCAGGCGCACGAATGAAGACATGTATTCCCTCACACAGCCCTCAATACTAAACGCTATAGTCGTATTCCGTTCGCTGAGTCTCGAATAAACACTAAACCAATACTACTTGGGTATCCGCGTCCTATAAATACCATCCACCAGTGAAATCGCCTCACACACTCTAAACTGGACTCTAATTGAATGTACCCCTCTTAGGACGGGAATTGGCGACGCATGGACGAGGACTGTAAATTCCCCTACACAACACTCAACACCAAACAGTACAGTCGTTTCCCCTTCGCCGTACTGCAAGTGAATATCCACCACTACGGCGACAGGCCTGCGCCCGAGTGGGTGAACCAGATAACCAACAACAGCCTGTGCATTCCGGTGGAGAACTTCTCCAAGTATCTGCAGGTGAGTAAGCTTGTTGTGATGGGTGTGTGTAGTATGGCAGAACCAAGGTAAGGGCAGGACTATTGTGCACCCTTAAACCAAGGTAAGGGCAGGACTATTATGCACCCGTAAACCAAGGTAAGGTCAGGACTATTATGCACCCGTAAACCAAGGTAAGGGCAGGACTATTGTGCACCCGTAAACCAAGGTAAGGGCAGGACTATTATGCAACCGTGCATGGCCTATTCGAATGGTCAGATGTATTGCTCTGTGTGTCGCGTTCGATTGCTGTGCTGCAGAGAAACATCCCATACAACGAACAAAGGCCCTAGCAACCTGCGCATATGCATAAACGTATATATATATGGTCTTGCTATATATCCACATTAGCATGTACTTGTATGCATACACATATTAACCCTATCAATGCCTTTCAGGGCTAGCTGTATTAAGCGGCCACATAGAATCATATACAAAATCAATGCGCTTTAGAGGTCCAAACAAACACACAATAACCTTTTCACACCAATCTACAAGGGAGTGCCTTCAAATAATCCAATACAAAATCAATGTGCTTTTTCGAGGTCAAAACAAACACACAATAATCTGACAAACACACAATAACCTTATCACTCCAATCGACAAGGGAATGCCCCCATATAACCCAATAAAAAATCAACGTGCTTTTTAGAGGTCAAAACAAACACACAATAGTCTGACAAACACATAATAACCTCATCATCGTAATCTACAGGGAGTGTCGTCGCTGTATGGAGACAAGGTGCAGGCGTTACCCAGCTGGCACATGAAGCTAACGACCACGGGGCAGTTAACCACACCAGACGGCTCAGATGGCAGTGACCAGCGGTCAGGAGATACATATGTAAGTGATGTGTAGTTGTATTAAATATATGAGTGGGGTGTATGTAGCATAGGGCAAGTTCAGTATGTGTGTATATGGATACAGTTGATATAAGACAGAAAATTCGTACATTCATCCGATATATATATGTATATATATATATATATACATATATACATACACACACACACACACACATATATATATATATATATATACATACATACATACATACATACATACATACATACATACATACATATATTTATAAATATAAATATAAATATATGTAAAACGTTGTCGGGGATCTATCCTGAAAATCACGTGGCTAACACCTTTCATACATTATCATTCCCGCCAGCACCTGTTATGTCAATGTATCTATTAATATAGCAGTTATGTCAATGCATCTATTAATTTTACAGGACTTGGAGACCGTGTACGATGCGGAGAGACGGGCAAGCGTTGACTTCCACAAAACGGGCGACCGCAGCTATTCTGTTGTGCCTATCACAGACGATGCGAGCTCAGCAGAGCTTAGTAAGTTATGTATACATTACATTTCGATATAGTATGTGATGTATACGTATATAATACATTTTTATGTCATGTTTACGAGTATAGTACGTTATAGTAATTCATGTATACGTATATAATACGTTATAGTATGTGATGTATACCTATATAATACATTGTAGTATGTGGTGTATACGTGTATGGTACGTTATAGTATGTCATGTGTGCGTATGTATTACATTATAGTATGACATATAGGTATACGTTTGCCATATTGAGAAATCGTGGTGAAAACGTTCAATTGCAGCACGTGCTTGTGTGGCAGACATGTTTTGTATGTAGGTTACTGTGTGAGTATGTGTGTATATCTTTTGAGTGGCGTGTGTGCGTCGTACCCCTGAACATACACAATGGGTAGAGTATTCCCATATAGTCATGTGTAGTAGGGCGTTCGTGTATTGATATCAATGTGTCTGTATACATGTTTTCTATTAGGGCGGACATCATTTGTAGGTGTATATACATGGACATACATTCACAACATTGTGTGTGTGCGTGTGTCTGTGTGTATGGGATCATGTATTGATATCAATGTGTTTGTATACATGTGCTCTACTAGGACGGACATCGTTTCTAGGTGTATATACATGGACATACATTCACAACATCGTGTCATACATTCACAACATTGTGTGTGTGCGTGTCTTGTGTATGGGCTTCAATAGTGTATATAGAACTGTTTCAAATACGTTCACATCGGTTTGTATCTATTTCACTAGCTCACGGGCTACAGCGTACCCTAATTATCAGTACAGTTATACTCATCTCTCTACTATATACCCAAGCTAAAATCTAGACCCAAGGGTTTAACCCCAAAACCCTGAACCCTGAACCCTAGCACCCCCATATTCGCAAAGGGAACAATACTCATGTGCTCATTTGTTTGAAACAGTCGGAGAAGACGACACACACACTGCACTCAGAAGAGAGAAGTCCGTGCGCGATCGCAAACGGAAGAACGTCATGCTGCTCTCTCGCATGATGAAGAGTTTAGCTAGGAAGATACCTAATATGAACAGCACAGCGCCGCAGTAAGTGTGTGTACTATAGGCTATATGCTAAAAATAATATGAAAATAATATATATATATATATATATATATATATAGCATACTGCCATGTTAGTTATAGCGTTGCTCTGTGCTTCTGCTGCACTGTGTTTTCTAAACGTTCCTCTGCGCTCTACCGAACTGTCTAATCAATGAAACGCAATGAATATTCACTATCATCCGCTCACACAGACCCAAGAAGGCCAAGCAGAAGAAGCCTATCGCCATCCCCGTGCGTGTGGAGCCCAAGGTGATCTTTGCGAACGAGCGCACCATGCTCAGATGGGTCAACATCACCATGTGGCTGTCTACCATTGGCATCGGGCTCATTCATCAGGTGTGTGTGTATGTATGCGCGTGTGTGTGTATGTATGTATCTAAGTCAGTATATATGTGTGTATGTATGAAGAAATATATATATATATGTGTGTGTGGTGGGTGTGGTGGGTGACCTTTGAATATGTGTATAGTAGAAGGAGTGCGTCTAGAGATGTTTAGGGCTAGTTACAGCGATAGCTATACATAAATGCACTTTCGTGTGAGTTGTATGATGTTTAGGGCTAGTTACAGCGATAGCTATACACAAATGCACTTTTGTGTGAGTTATATGATGTTTAGGGCTAGTTACAGCGATAGCTATACACAAATGCACTTTGAGAGGGATACTAGTAATAAGCTATCTATCTATTATACATGGCTTGCGTGCTGCTTGCTATGTACTCATAACGTTCTTCAGGTGATATGCATGGCTCCTGTTTCGCTAGTAATAAACTATCTATCGTCGGGTGCGTTCCTCCACTGAGCTCGTCATTCGTTCCCTTCGCATTCGTTTTCCTGCGACACTCCACACAGTTATTATATGCACCTCAGTGGACAATAATACAATACCAAATTGCAACCTGTAATCTGTCCATAAACCCAAACACCCAACTATATATGGACTTTTCTGCACTTAACACCCAACTAAATGGACTTTTCTGCACCTAAACGCTCCTCAGGAGGGCCACAAGGCCTGGGTATCACGGGTGGCTGGGTACCTGCTGGTGCCTGTGTCAGTCATGCTGATTGTCTATTCGCTCTACATGTTTCTGTGGCGCGACTGGAAAGTGCGCACACGCGATCCAGGGCCCTACAACTCATTCGCTGGGCCTGTGCTTATAACTTGTAAGTGGTGTTATGTGCAGCATGCCTGTTATACATCTGTGCTTATAGCTTGTAAGTGGTGTTGCATTGATTTGTGTACAGCATGCCTGTATCACATCTGTGTTTGTATATATTAGGCGCACTATGCCATACTCGTAGACTAACCATGCACATGCGTGTATATTAGTCTGTTGGATCGGAGTATGTGGTTGTGTAGCTCGACGACTCGATGCGCTTGCTTGTTTTGGTGCCGTTCAACTCAGGAGTGGGATCGTTGGTTGTTACGTATAAGTGTAGTTACACCTGGTTGCCAGATAAGTGTAGTTACATCTGTATACCAAGAACACGTGTGTTGCACGCGCCGTAGGAAAGTGTTGCACGCGCCGTTGGCCGAGACGTGTATACTATTCTGTGACATATCGGGATGTTGTTCTTGTAGTTGCTTAGCAACCGTGTCTTTTTTTGGGGGGGTTCTATAACAATGACTTTTCCAGGGTGTAAAGGCTCTCGTCAGAGTGACTCAACGGATGCAAATATGAGAGACTATTCCTATACCATCAATATTATTCGCCTCGGCGTTTATCTGCGTGTGTGCCTTTATACGTGTATATGTGCTCGTCTTTGTGTGCATGTGTTGGTGTACGTGTATATGTGCGGGTGTGTGTACTGTGTGTGTATATGTACGGGTGTGTACATAGTTGTGTTGTACTTGTTTATGTGTATACTTATTCACCTATTATGAACCTCCCACAGCTGTGCTTGGTGGTGCGCTCATGGTCAACTACTGCATGTGGTTCGTCGCCAATGGCTTCAACCCAGACGATTGGGTGAAACCCAAATAGTGGATCCATGTAAGCGTATCGCCGTACGTAAAACTCTATGGCCCAGTACGGATATGGATCACGGATAAGGCAGGGACGCTATACCCTGGTACCTTTATTGACGTCTGGATAAATTTCCGGATCATCAGCTGTACGTAATCAACGCAGAGCACATCGTACTGGCTCGCGCGCCGAATAATTCCAGCTGAGGCATAGATCGGAGGGGTTAGGTCGGGGTGAGGTGGTTGAAACATGTGAGGATTTAGATCACTTAATAAAAGGGGGTAAACTAATAAATGTATACAAGTCTGGAAATAAAACAACTGACTACGACTATGGATTGATTATATGCATGTACACGGTTCTAACCACTATGTAGCCCATTGATGGGATGTAATGAATAATGTATACATGTTTACATGATTCTAACCACTACTGCAAAGTATGTATATGTGTAGTATCACCTCTGGTGATATTCCAGGCAAGTGACTTTGCGTTATCTGTGAACCATAGCCTCCTGAATTGAACATTTGAATTTAAATTAAACTTGAGAGCCAATGATCGAAACCCGTGAGTCACAGGTTTTCAAAACATCCTGCAAAGGGCTTTATGTACCGACAATCTGTATCATCGATTCTATTCAGTAGGCCGACTATTTATTCCAGTGGGGGTGGTACATACATAGCACCCAGAAATTTCACCGAATTTTCATCGATACATTCACATATAATTAATAAATATATCTAATTATGCGTATGTAATCTGACCTCAGTTCGTTTTGTCTCGTTAAGCTGGTTTACAATCAATCATTTTTGCGTTAACGCTAAAATTTTATACCATACTAGTACCATCGAGATTTCTCCGCGTGTAAGTTGAATTATGTATTTCTGCGTGTGTGTTCAACGTTCACTGCACGAGTGCAAACTGAATTGACATTAAGGCGATAAATAGTATCAGCAATCATCAATTCATGACTCTCTCGAGCTTTTAGCCTCTCTCCTCTCGCCTGTCTCTCTCTTTATACTAGAGAGAGAGAGAGAGAGAGAGAGAGAGAGAGAGAGAGAGAGAGAGAGAGAGAGAGAGAGAGAGAGAGAGAGAGAGAGAGAGAGAATAATTTATTGTCGAATAGAAGATAGGGTAGAACGGACGAATAGGCAATGAGGGACAACGTCCGGCCACCAAGAATTCAACATAATAATGGATATGTATTCCAATTCCCATCGCCTCCTAAAAAAAAAAGATACATATTCGTGTAAATCTCACAATGACAGAATCTGGCCCCTACGCCCTACATATACGGCCCTGCCCCCTGCCCCAGCACCCTCTGCCCCCTGCCCCTGGAATCCTGGATACCAAGAATATGAGATACATATCAGATATTTTATACATACAGTACGAGTGATGGCTCGATACTCTCATACATAAATACATACCTGATGGGCTGATATGTATAAACTCCTGTTTTTTTTTTTGAAAACAAGAGTAAACCAATTTCATAATCGTGATTATTGCTGAGTTTTCGCCCAATGGGGGTTGTTTTCTGCCGACTCGCTGAGTCGCTGATTGGATAGTGGATTTCATGTGAGTCAAAGATGAGATTCAAAGCAGCAGATCTGCAAATCTTGATAGTCTCAAGACTCAAGAGTAGTATATAATAAATACAATGTTAAAGTTTAAACTCGCTGCGCATTGTTATGCGACTAGTAGAGAGAGCGACTAGTGTCAACTGTCGACTCTTCGAGACGTCGAGTCGTGTGACCTTAGGGCACTCTCACTATAACCCGATCAGTCACTATATTTCTGTTTTTTTTCTCTAGCATGAAACAGGTGGTTATGGTCGTGTACTTTGATTCCGCTTACTTGTTCGATCGGTTAAAGAAGTTTTGGCCGAGAAGTTTGGCTTTTAAAATAATAGAAAAACTACATATGATGACATATCCGTGTAAGAATACTCACCACATTCACTTTCACACTGCTATTCTTCGATATACAATTTGATAACACGGAACGCAATATTTTCAGCACTATGCCTATCTTCACGGTTGAAGACCGAATATATTGCATGATAAGCTATGATGAACTGGGTCACGAGACTGTAGAGCAGAGTGGGTATGTCACATACATGGGCGTATCGTAGATTGATGTCTGACTTGTGCCGGAGTTTGCTGCAACACGAAGCGTATACTGACGTGGTTTGAGAGCTACGATCAATGGTTTTCGGCCATGGACTCATACGCACAAACTGCTCACGGTGTCTATGCTGGAAGTAGAAGCCCTAAAGTACTTGTAATCGGTATCCACTGGGCGTCTTCCCCTTCTCCATTGCCGGACATGTTGTACTTGCCTGCGAATGTTCACGACATAAGGCTTCCCGGAAAGAATACCTCACCGCTATAGTCGCCGCGAATCAATCAACAACCGAACAGCTGGTAGTGCCACCCAACACAACGGGTGACGTATAGATATCGAATTCATAAAGCACCCATGTGTAATAGTAGCTGGGGTGCCTTAGTATGCCCCCAATCGTTAGTTTATAGGTTATGGACAATAAACAAAAGCACCCACGTGTAATAGTAGCTGAGGTGCCATAGTATGCTCCTAATCGTTAGTTTATAGGTTGTGGACAATAAACAAAAGCATCCCACGTGTAATAGTAGATGAGGTGCCATAGCATGCCCCTAATAGTTAGTTTATAGGTTGTGGACAAAAGCACCCACGTGTAATAGTAGCTGAGGTGCCATTGTATGCCCCTATTCGTTAGTTTGTAGGTTCTGGACAATGACCAAAAGCACCCACGTGTAATAGTAGCTGAGGTGCCATAGTATGCCCTGATTCGATAGTTTATAGGTTGTGGACAATAAACAAAAGCACCCACGTGTAATAGTAGCTGAGGTGCCAAAGGATACCCCTAATCGTTAGTTTACAGGTTGTGGACAATAAATATTTACACTAAAGAGAGGCACATTGTGATGCTGCATAATAATCAGCACCTTCTGTACATATCACTTATACAGGACCCGACGGTAGCATATGAAGGTACCGACGGTTCAGTAAAGGAAGAATGGCTACTACGAGCGGGACAAGTATATTAACAAAAGTGCCAGCAAACAATGTGGCAAGCATCAATAGCTCTATGAACTTAAACCTTTTCGACGAAGGCAACTATTAAAGCTGACTTCAATATCACGGTAGACATAGTGCGGGATTAAGCTCTTACTCCTACTCGAATATCCGCGATAACACGACGAGTCGAGTCAACGCTTCTTGCGTAGCCAGATCAATGTAGCCCTTAGAATGTAGCAGTTGTATTGCGCACAAGTATTTCAGCCAGCCCATTGAGAGTCATGTATGTGAACGGTCGTTTTCATGGCAACTAATTAAGGTATGTAGTATGAGTTGAATAGCCTTGCGCAAGTGTGACAGCACGATAAAAACATCGAATGTAGCGGACACTAACATGTTTCAAATGCAAACATGATGAACAAAATATTGATTACTCTCGCAATCACAGCAAGATAGTGAATAGAGCCAAAACATCAACCTAAACAAACGCAGGTGTGTTGGAAAGTATTCGTTTGTGTGCTATAGAGAAAAATCAATATAAAACATATGTAACTGAGTATATCATGGAGTTTAGCGGCAAGTAATCATCAAGCATTTTTATTACTGCAAAAAAAAATTCTCCAACCCGCGGTGACAACTAAAACACCCGGCAATCGCTGTGTGCGGTTGTATCGAACCGCAAACACACGGCCGCCACAGTGACCAGGTTGGCGCTCCCCTATCAACATCCATTCTATAGATAGGCCCAAGGCAGGCTTCCAGGGGCACTCACAGGCTACTGCAGTAGGCGAGTGTATCTTTACTTTTACGGAGTTAGATTGATGATTGCTGGGTGCGGTTGTAACCAACCGCAAACACAAATCCGCC